AATATGACAGTGAATCATTTTCCAAAGACTCTAACTGAATTGTGGTGAAATTGAAGAGCGAATTGTTTCTGTAAGAAACTATATAGTGGTTAAATTTGAAAGTAAACTGTTTACTACATTATCAAATCGAAACGTGCTGACATTTCATGTACATTGAATCAGGTCCCAAAGAATCATAATAACTGAATTGTCATCGGGTTTATGTCCTTCATATTTATTCAGAAAATCATCTACAGTGTTATAAGGAGGTGAACAGAATGAACTAACCGAGTCTCACTGATAACGGCGAGAACACAGGAACAGGCCCATGAGCATAACACCTCTGATTCATCATCCCATCACCCTGAATCAACGTGACATGGCTTTTGTTTCCTGTTTGAAATCCTATTATGGTGATCTGATATCATTACCATTACAACATGAAAGACTGCGAGTACAGAGCTGATGCTTCTGGGAAATTAAAGCCGTTGTCCCCTCTCTGAAGTAACGGTTTTACAAATAAATAACCTGTAAATGAAACAGGAGCTGGTCTAATTTGAGATTGTCCCATATGCTCACAGATGCTATTAGAGATTTCATTAAAGTGATACAAGAGACACAGCCTGGTGAATTCTGATATGTCTGGACACCTTAAAGTACTTCCAAGATTCCTTGGCAAAGCATGAAGTTTACACAATTTTGTCTGTACCCTCAAAAAGATATGTTTACGTGGTTTCTGTCAGTCTATAACATTTTGTTAACTCTGAAAATGGACTAAAGTGCATCACATAGCTAAAAACAGTAGCAGCAGCCACATTGAGGCCTGCATTTTGTCCATTTTTGTAGATAACAGTACGTTAGAGTCAGAAACCACATAAGCAAGTCTATCACTTCACAATTTGACATGGTTTGAGTATGTATGTGATGAGTGTGAGTATGTGGTGATTCAGGCATGCAGTTTCAGACAACAATTTGAGGTTAATTGAATCTTTAACGGGGTGTATAAAGGTCAATCTCCTGTCTGTCGATCCCTCCACCCCCACAACAAATGGGTATGTGATCATGAGAAACAATCTGTTGGTTTGCATGGGACTCTCTGATGAATGAACCTTAAATCTTGAACCTTTATCTCCCAGATCTTTGCTCTGAATGATCTCAGTGTTCAGTCTTCTTCGTAAACTTGTCCTACTTGTTTCCTAACTGGTTTGGCCCTGATGAGCGTGTTCGCTGTTTCTCATGCATATTCAGTACCAGGACGGGGTTTATACACATAAAAATGGTTTAAATACATTCTTTCCAAGCCACATCCAAAAGCAAAATCCCTTCTAGTACATCATAAAGGCACAGCCACATTCGCATTTGTCACGTTAAGCTCAGCTGCTGCTAGAAAAACCAGCATAGACAAGCATAGCTGGTCACAAGCAAAACCAGCATGTGTTTTAGATGCTGGTATGCTGGCCATGTGTTCCATGCTGGTCTATGACATTTTTTTTTCAGCAGGGAAGCCAATTTGTATCTTTGACCAACAGCCCTGTACACTGAAAATGGACGAAATGCTAATATAACCTGTGTCTAACCATAAACTGTTTACCAGTTCTTCCTCACAGGATATACACAAACACATGAAACAGGGACTGAATGATACACTGTCAGATAGGAGAGGTGTTATTATCTTTACTTTTGTGCTTTAACTGATTGTGGTAGATGCCAGCTTGCTAACTGCAATGTTAGCTCCTTGGCTAACTGCAGCTGCACAAAAATCACAGTGCAGCACTGTGCTGTGGCAACAATATGTAATTATATCATTTATTGTGTTTTTACTGTTTATAGTAGGTGAGTTAGTCAGCTTACTGACTGCTGTGTTAGCTCCTTGGCTAATCGCAGCTTCACACAAGTCATCCCACTGCCGCCAATCACGAGTCATCTATATATTTGTGCTACAGAATGGTGTGCAGCATTACGCTATTGTGAGTATATAGTCATGAGGTATACTTCAGTCGCTTTTGCCCTCCATGGTACAGCTCGACTCGTCTTAACTCTACTCACTTTTGGTACCAGCTACTTCATTTTCCACTGCAGATATTACGCCCCCTCAATGTAGCTGATTGTCATAGTGGTGCCACATGAAACAGCCATGATGTGAAGGAGATAAATTTTGTTCAAAAAGGCTGATGACAGTGAGACAAAATACTGCTGAAAAAAAAAAAAAAACAGAAGAATTTGGGAAAAACTACATCAGAGTTCAGATGCCAAGACAATTCTAATGGCTCAAAGGCGAGAGGGTGTGCTAACCTGGGAACTAACATTAGCATAAGCATTAATATGCAAAATGAAAGATTTTTTATATCTTCCGTCTAGCCACCACACCCATTTCCTCACCCATAAAGTGACCTGAACTGCGAATGTGTACTGTGACTGAGGCTTAACAATTGGCTCATGACTGCGGTGATTAATCTGAAAAATCAAGCACCCAGTTAGCTATATTAGCTTTATAGCTTCTGTGTTTAATTGAACAAGCAAACTTCAGACATCAAATATGTCTTGGCCAATCGACTACACCTGAGGTGCAGTGGGGAAAATGTCAATTCGATTTTTCAGTGAACCATTCTTATTTGTAAAAGGAACGCCATGGCAATAGAAAACACCAAAATATGCAAGGCTGGGGTTTTCCAGACTAGCACTGAAAATCATTGACTCCAGTTCAGTTGAATCGCATTCGCCATATCATTCCATACATCCGAACTAATAAGTCCTACAGTTATTGTTCCACACGTCCGTCAAGAATTGAACCAGATTTCTAGGTGTTTAACTGTTTTCTGTTGCTTACGGCTGGCTTGCACAGCCTGGCAGGCGGCGCAGTAATGCTCTGCCCAGAATGAGGTCACATGCACACTGTAGTCCTGCCTCCAGGCCAGGTAGCGGCGATACTGAGCTGGATTTTGGTCCAGGTACATGAGGTACGCGGCAAGGGCCCGGGGCGATTTGAAGTCATGGACGTGGATGAAAGCATCCGGAGGCAGGAAGCGCTCGTAGTTTTCCCGCGACGGCCCCAGCACCACGGGCACGGCTCCAGTCTGAAGGGCATTACGCCACAGTTTCTCGGTAATATAGTCTGTGTGGAGGGAGTTTTCGAAAGCCAGATAGAACTTGTAGCTGGAGATGGTCTGCAGCACGCTGTTGTTGACCAGACGCAGTGCCCGGCGGCCATAGATGTCCACCCGGATGTAACGACGAAGCCGCCAGTAGAACTGAACCCTCTCTTGCTTCTCGCTCCAGTTGCTGATCACCCAGGCAACCAGTGCCCGGTGCCTGGGGCCTGACTGGCCACGATGCTGCCACACAGGAGAGTTGTCGCTGTGGTGACCTGCTGCATGGTTGCTGCGGTTACCATGGTGGTCTGTCAGATGACCATTGTGGTCATTGCCATGCCGATCAGCCCGAGGGTCACTGCTGTGGTGACTCATCTGAGGGTTGATGTTATTGCCACCGTGGATTATTGGAGGGTCATCAACACTGTCATAACGACGACGCTGGAGGTACCCATAGGGCAAAAAGATGTCAGAGCCAAAGCGGTAGGACATGGTCAGGTTGAAAAGTCTGTCCAGACCGTCCAGCCAGGGTGAGTGCGAAGGAGACTCGAAGTTCATCCAGATCCATTTCTGGCCCTTAGGGCGTGGGAGCTGCGGGAGGGCCTCTGGCTCTTGCACCAGCTCACGGTGGTGCATGATCACTGCGTCGGCACGTGTGTATTTGTCCCTGTCCTGCGTCAGCACACACCCACGTACGCCATAGCTCGTTGCGCAGTTCGGAGGTGAGTGTGCACTACCAAAGGGTGCCCACCACAAGAGCAGCAACGTCACGTGCGCATGTGAGTCTTCGGAATTGGAGTCTTCAAAGTCCAGACGCGCCCCTGGTGCAAGAGCACGAGGCACGGCTAGCACAAGCAACACAAGTGCAGGCATGAGCGGTGCGAAGCGACGCAGACGCTTCCCGCGCACTCTTTTGCTCGGGTACAGGGAGAAAATTGCCATAAATTCAAACACAAACAAGTCTTCTTAGCTTCCTCCTTTAATTATCCCCACAGTCTCTTCCTTGCAGCCCTTTCACTGCACTTTTAACAGCCCATAAATTTTCTTATAGTGTGTCTACTGCCCCATTCATTTCCTAGCAGCCCAAAACTCATTTCTTCACAGTTTTCCTCCCTTTATTACCCCCTTAACAACCCCACATAGCATATTCCTCACAGTTTACCTCCTTCTGTTGCCCATTAACACCTGACACCTTCCTTTCCTCAATGTCTTTCTCTTCCTCTTATTGCAATTTTAATTCCCCAAACCCTTTTCCTTCACCCTCAACACCCCAAAACAGTTTTCCTCAGCCTTTCTCTTTAAAACCCCACACAGTCCCTTCCTTCTGCTTTGCTCCCCTAAATACCCTAAAAACTCCTTGCAGTCTTCCTTTTTAGTGCCTCTTCAACACCCCATACAGCCAATTCCACTTCCTATTCCATCTTCCACCTTCAGTTGCCCCTTTATACCCAAATTCCATTCTCTACATTTTCCTTCCTTTTCTTGGCCTTTTGGTATCACAAAACTCCTTTCTTTGCAGTCAGCCTGGGGGGTACCCCTTTCCTCCTTCTGTTGCTCCCTCAGTTCCTCCAAACTTCCTTCCTCGCGGTCTTGTTCTGTCCAGTCTTCAGTCTGCTTCCTACTGCCACTATAGACAGCACCTTCCACTGTTGTCCCTGAACAGTCCACACAGTCTCTTCCTCACAGTTTTCCTTCTTTTTGCTCCTTTAACCGCTCACAGTCTTTTCCTCCTTCAAAACCCCAAACACCGAGCCTTCCTCCACTTCTTACCTCAAGCTCTGTGAGAAAGGCCACATGCACTCCAACACGCTCCGCACTCCTCCACTGGATACTTTACTCTGTCACTCCTTGGTGTTTTCAGCACATGCAGAACCAGTTCTCCCATTGCTCAGCAATTTCGGCTTCTGCGTTCTTCCTCATAGTATGAGCTCAGCCAACCCCGCCTCCCACAGCCACTCTGACAGCCTGTTTACTCTTCAAACTACCCCTCTATAAACCCCTCAACGTGGCAGACACGGCGGAGCTGCAGCCTGAAGGCTCCTTTGTTTACTCTCTGCTCGCCCGCAGCAGCGGGTGCGAGAGGGAGGCTCCAAATCACTTTCAATAAGCTTGGCTTTACCACGCCACCACTGAACCATGGTTAAATAAAAATACATTTTAATAACTACATTGAATGTGAAGGGAATTGACTTGTTCATCCAGCCAGGAGAGGTTTAATCAAAAGAGCTAATGTTGCTAAGAATAAATGAAAACAAACAGGGACCAGTCACACCACTGTAATCGCTGTTTTCAGCCACTTCATTAAAGGTAAAAAAAAAAAAAATGAATGTTACCAGCAATAAATGAAAACAAACAGCTACCGTTTAGCATTAGGCAAATCTTTCTAATTGTTAATACAACCTAAAAAATGTGTGTTAGATTTTGTGCTGCTTTTAAACGCAAAATACAGACAGTGAATTCAGCACAGTAAGGTAGAGAGTTAATTCAATGCTACAGGCGTTAATGCAACACTAAGTACTGCTGATTATTGTTACATTGCATTCATTGGAGGGACACGCAGCCTGTCTACTCACCTCCTACGGCGATGATGCAATAACATTCCGATGATGCAAAGCCTTCAGATGATGTATTTGCAGAGGAACTTCTGCAAAGCTGATTTTTGGGGTTGGGCAGTTTTTTTTTCCTAGCAGGCCAAAGCAATTACGAATTTGTTTGACAATTGAGGGAGGAGTTGCACTACTCCTAGCTTGGTTGAATCTATTAGCCCATGGCTCAGTGGCTCGGGTAGCAGGACTGGTTGACACCACAGAGATTCCCTATGGTTGAATGATTTGTTTTCTTTATGTATGCTGAGTACTGCAGTGAGAGATTACTGATTAACAAAAACAAAAATACATAATAACAAAATAACAATAACAAAAATATAAAATCAAATATTCAGATAAACCAATAAGGCTGAGTTTGTCGGAAGCTACAGAAAACTGCATAACACAACAAGTAACATATTAGACTGTAGTTTCAGGCCTGAATGCCCCTTTAAGGTCAGTGGTGACTAATGTAGCTCAAATTCATGCTCAAACAACTGTTATTACTGCAATGACATCAAGCAGAAGTGGTCTAGAAAAAAACAACCTTTGTGAAAAATTGTACAGAGATGCAGTGGAACTTCCTAGTCAATCCAGCATCTACAGTATAGAAATTGTAGTTTGTTAAGCCCTATTCTTCTCTTTTAGTCTAAAAAATGCTAAAGCTCTGAAGTGAGAGATAGTTTGGTAGTCTATGCAGTTAAAAGGTGAAACATGTTGATACCGTACCTACTAAACACATCTGTGTACTCTAATTACATTAAAACATTAAACCACATCCTTGTTGCATTGACACTGATGTGGTGGTGCACAGCACTGCTGTGTCTGATCCAGTCGTACCAGCAACACACACCAACACAACAACACTAGTGTCAGTGTCACTGCAGCGCTGAGAATGATCCACCACCCAAATAATACCTGCTCTGTGGGGGTCCTGACCACTGAAGAACAGGGTAACAAAGTATGCAGAGAAACAGATGGACTACAGTCTGTAACTGTAGACCTACAAAGTGCTCCGGTTTAGTCCGTGGAGCTGATAAGATGGACAATGAGCATAGAAACAAGGATCGTATGTATGTGTAAGTCCTTTATTCGGGAACCACAGAAACCTGCATGCCAAATTGATGAGTACTAATTCGTTTGCAGCCCAACTTGTCAGGTATCAGGTTGGGGCCTGACAATGTGGCATGCACATTTGATATCTGTTGCATTTTTCTGGAATTGGTGGTTAACAGTCTGGTGTGAATGTGCCTATTTGTGTGTTTTTGGATCCAGAAAATTTGGTATGCAAATTCATTATGTATTGCTTTTTTATGACACTGGAGCCAATTCATTGAGCGAATTTACCTTTTTGTGTTTTTATAGCATTGGCGCCAGAAACGTTTGTATGTGAATTCGCTAATTATTGCATTTTTACAACACTGGTGACAATTTGCTGATTGAATTGATCTTTTTTTTTGTATTTTTATGGCATTGGTGCCAGTTAATTTGGTGTACGAATTCACCATTTATCACATTTTATGATACTGGTGCCAATTTGGTGCAAAAATGTACCTTTTTTGTATGTTTATGGCATTAGTGTCTGACAATTTAGTATGAATTAGTTTTTTCTTGTATTTTTATAGCCTAAGACAATTTGGTATGTGAGATTGTTTTAATCTTTATAGCACTAGTCTCTGCTTTTTAATGTTTTTATTTAAAATTTGCATTGAAATTCATGATGTATTGCATTTCTTCAGCATTGGCGCCCAACAATTTGTAGCAGGTTACTTTTACTTTCTGAATACCTAGTTCAAGAGGATTCAACCACTTTCTGGGTTACATACTATAAAACACTGGAGCTCTTCTGTCCTTGAGTAAAAACCCTTAAAGCTCAACACGTCCACATGATAGCAGGCTGTCAGTGAGTGTGCACTTTCCCCCCGAGTGCTGAAGATAAATACCACACACACACACACCTCTCAGTGTTTTTCCACTTCCAAACAATAGACCCTCAGTACAGGCTGGAGGAAATGTATTCAAAGGACTCTCTCTGCGGTTCGCAGGACAGCTACACTGGTTAAATAAATAAATAAATAAACTAAAAAGTAGACGTTCCTTTTAAAATACTCCAGTGAAAGTGCGGTGTTTCGTTTTTGCTGACCAAGCCTGTGGCTGTGGGTGTTCTCTTAGTTTGTTTGTGGGTCTGGGACCAGAATACACAGCATCAAGACTGAACTATTTATATTTAAATGTTTATTTTTTTTTCTATTTAAATGTTATATTTCACAGTTTAACATGTACAGCAAATACTTAGATAGAAGAAGCTTTTTTGAACAAACAAATGCTTACTGCCCAGCCCAGAAAAGCAAAACTACGGAGCCCTAATGGTGACATCCCGTATAAATAAAAACTGCGTGGCTACACCACTTAACATGTGGAAACAAGATCCTAATGGCCACGACTAAGTAGGAATGAGATCACGCCTTATTAAGCTGTGGTCAAGGCTTAATTATCTCATTTCCATGCCTTACTAAGTCGTGGCCACGCTCTATTTTCATTTATATGGGATGTCACCAGCAGGGCTCCGTCCAGAACGTTAATGTGACTGAGCTAAAGGATCTGTTTCTCTCTAATGCTAATGCAAGTCCCAATTTTTTACAGTTTCTGTATCAGCACTGGCAAAGACAGGATATTTCACCCTCCTTCTAGCAGAACATGAACTGGTAAACCTTATCTGTTTACCTAAATTAAAATATTTTGCTAAGATTTTGTGATTTAATTTGACATATTCTGATCTATAGCTGTGAACTAATAATGAAGGTTTTCTCGCTTTATCAGGAGTTATTTGTTCTCTTGTTGTCTCATGTTTAGACTGCAGTTTTTTACCAGAGTACACAGAGATAAATCAAACTAGGCCAGAAAGGTGCAATTACTTACTCGAGAGAAAGCATCAAGGAGCTTCTCTCACTTCATTCATCTCCACCCAATCTATCCTATGAACAATGAAACAGACAAAAGGGCTCAACGTTAACACTTGTCTAGTCGCCCTTAGTAACCAGAAACCATTCTGTGGCCTCAGTTAGCACTGCTTTTTCTTTTGTTTCATTTCTTTCACATGTAAACATCACAGTAATTTCAGTAAAGCTGTGGATGCCTCAGTTATGAACAATCTTCAGTCCGAAGGAAAGAAGAGCTAATCAAAAATAAAGAGGCCAAACAACTTGAAACAGTCTATAGTTTGTGTGGCATGTTTGCCAGCTAGCTAGCAAGTTGTAATAAGTTTTAAAGGAATGTGATCTATAGCTGTAACTAAAACATCAGCTAGATTAATGAACATACATACATACACACATCATCTAAACCGCTTATCCTTCTGGGTTGCAGCGGGGTGCTGGAGCCTATCCCAGCTGTCATTGGGCGGAGAGCAGATTAACGAACAACTTCAGCTAAATTAGCTAGTGTGCTAGTTAGCATACAAGCTACATGCTAGCCAACCATTATACATTGTTTGCCTCTTACACCACATTTACTGCATGTAGTGCTTCGTTCTGTCCATCAGACTAAAGGTCAAAATAATTCTTATTTAAAGCTGACTTGAGTCTGACAGCAATGCGAGCTGCCTAGAAAGCGTTTATTGGTTTGCTGACTTAATAAGGTCGGCACGCTGCTGACTGCATTAAACTGCTGGACCACCCTCAGATCACCCACAATATTGTTCTGCATACAAGGTCTAACTAGTTTTTAATCTCCTCCAACAGATTTAATTTTTTTATTTAGAAAGACAAATATTACAAAGTATTGAGAGAAAAAAAATAATAAATTTGTTGAAAATGTTGCTGTTGACACTGTACTAGATTACAGCTTCTGGTAGGTTACAGATATATAATCGGCTTTATCTACCATACTGATGTTGACTTTATTTACTAAGCTACAACCTCATTTCCAAAAAAGTTGGGACGCTGTGTGGAATGTAAATAATAACAGAATGCACTGATGTAAATTATGTAAACCATATTTTTAAAGGAAAATAGTACAATATGTCAAATGTTGCAACTTTTTTTGAAATTTTATTGTTTTTTGAAAAAATATATGCCCATTTTGAATTTGATGCCAATAACACATTCCAAAAAAGTTGGGATGGGGGCCTGTTTACCACTGTGTTTCTTCATCTGTTCTTTTAACAACACTCTGTAAGTGTTTGTGAACTGAGGAGACACTGCTGTAGTTTAGAAACAGAAATGTTTTCCCGTTTTTGCTTAACATCGGATTTCAGCTGCTCAACAGTTCAGAGTCTCATTTGTCCTGTTTTTCATTTCATAACCCTCCAAATGTTTTCAATAGGTGACAGGTCTGGACTGCAGGTAGGCCAGTTTAGCACCCAGAGTCTTTTAATACTGAGCCATGTTGTTGTAATACATGCAGAATGTGGTTTGGTATCATCTTGCTGAAATAAACAAGGTCTTTCCTGAAAAAGACGTTGTCTGGATGGCAGCATACGTTGCCACAACATGTATATATTGTTCCTCATTAATGGTGTCTTTGCAGATGTGCACATCACCCATGCCATGTGCACTAATGCCCCCCTATACCATCATGAATACTGGCTTTTGAACTGTGCGTTGATAACAAGCTGAGTGGTCTTTAGCCTGGAGGACACAGTGTCCATGATTTCCAAAAACAGGGCTCAGATTAGCACTCTGAGCTCAGGCCCAGAGAAGGTGGCAACTCCTCCTCATTTTTACTTCTGAAAGACTCTCTTGGATGCTTTTTATGACAATCATGTTACTGATCTGTTGCCAATCAACCACCAGGTGTTTTTTTTAGCATTACACAACTTTACCAGCCTTTTGTTGCCCCCGTCCCAGCTTTTTTGGAACGTGTTGTTGGCATCAAATTCGAAATGGGCATATATTTTTCAAAAAACCATAACATTTCTCGCTTTCAACATCTGATATGTTGTGTTTGTACTATTTTCAATGAACTATAGGGTTTAAATGATTTGCACATCATTGCATTTTGTTTTTATTTACATTTTGCACAGCGTCCCAACTTTTTTGGAAATGGGGTTGTAATTCACAAGGGTTAATGAAAGAATGAAATGAAAGAAGAATAAGTACATTGGACTCTGAGTGGAAAGTGAGTGATTAAAAGTGGCATTTTGTCTAATACTCTGCTTAACCACTGGTGGTCCACTTTGAAAGTGCTGAGCAAAAAGCTGGTGGGCAGCCAGCTTTGCCATCAGTGGGCCATCAGCGGCTCGATATTCTCTTGATATCTAGGAGGAAAACAGCACTGCAGTGATGGGGCATGACCGCACTCCAATTTCAGTAAAATTGGTGATGATTTATTGTTCTTCTGTCTGAAGGACAGAACTGAAGCACGACACACTGTAAAGTAGTTTGTCTAGCATGTTTGCAAACTAGCTAATGTGAAGTTTGAACTCTAACTAAAATGTCAGCTAGATTAACTAACAACATAGGCTAAATTAGCCAGTGTGCTAGTTAGCTTTCTGGCATTACAGTAATGACGGCTTTATTTGAAGCTGATGGCACTGTGAGCTGAAGGAAAACAGCACTGCGGTAATGTAAGTTTGGAAACATTTTATTCATTCAGTTACTATTTGTGTGTTTTCCTCAGGCTAATATCGGTCAGTTAAGGGGGGACCTGAGTTGTGAGTCAACATGCCTGACTCAAGTCCTTATCTCTGTTCTGAGTCAGTCACCACGTGTTTGCATGTAACACGTTTGGGCCACATTTCTGCATTCAGACATGTTAAGTGATGACTAACAGACTGAAAGGCAAAAACAGACTAGAAAGGAAAATGTGCAGGTAATTTTCGATCATTATCCACCTGCAGTGTATAATTACATAATATCTTAACTACCACAGTCATTTTCAGTAGCCAAACTTGATGCCTGGTTGTCCAACTGTAATGAGCCCTAGAGATTCTTAGGGCAGCTCGAGATTAAGTCTGATAAAACAGAGGTGGAGTCCAGTGTTAAATATTTACATTACTGCCCTGCTGCAGAGTTTCAATTATTCAGGTCCTGAGGTAACCACAGGATAAGGATTAGTACACAGCTTATTGTTTTCCCTGCTTTAACACACCTGATTCAGTTAACATGATAAACAGAACTAGGTGTGTTATATGAAGGGATTATGCAGTGCAAATATTTCTCCACAACCAGGATCTGAGAACAAAGCACTGTTTTTACACGTAGTCATAATGTTATAACACTGTAATATTTCTCTTTTGAAAAGAAATTGGCTGGGGGGAAAAAATAAAGCAATACATTCTGGATTCAAGATAATAGTACTTTAGCTATGCTGTGATCTTTTGACCTATAGATAACAGCATGCAGTCTGAATGGTACCAATTGTTGTAGTATTAAATACATAAGGCTTGTAGATCTAATGCAAAAATAAAGAGGCTTCAAACTGCTAAACTGTCTTGGCTGACTGACTAAGGGTAATTTTGTGTGTATTTTATTTTTCACTCAACTATTGCTTTCACATAAATCTAGATGAAACATTATGAGGAGAAAGATTTGGATATTGTTATTATTTTATTATTATTTTATTTCCTCTATTCCAGCGTGTTCCACAGGGTTTAGTGTTCGGCCCTTTTACATTGAGAAAGGAGATCAGAATCCTGATCAGATACTGTACGGTTCTGATGTAGTGTATGAATTCATTAAATGTTCATGCATCATATTCATTTCACATTCTGAAACTGTCAGTCAATATTGTTACATGGCTCCGTCATTTCGAACAGACTGTAATGTGCACTCGTTCGGAGTGCGATGTCGTAAGCCGTTTCTCCGGCACCGTTCTTCAGTCCAGCCTGCAGGGCACGCTGTGACAGCAGCAGTTCCAAAGTCAATGCTGCTGCAGGGTTTCCTGCTGCGAGCTGCAGTGGTGTGAGTTGGCCTGTCGTCTTGGCATTGACCGATGCCCCCCGACGCAATAAACAGGATGCTACAGCAGCGTGCCCCCAGCGGGAGGCGCTGTGGAGCGGAGTCCAGCCGTCTACCGTTCTCGCGTGAAGCTCTGCCTTTGCGTCCAGGAGAACCGAAGCAACAGACAAATGACCACTGTATGCTGCGCGGTGGAGAGGAGTGTAACCGTCATCGTCACGGCAATTCACCAGGGACGGGTCAGATTCAAGGAGCTGCTTTACTGTGGCCAACTGGGAGAGACGGAGAAACATCAACATTAGATATTAACATTTGAGAAGTAAAAACGTATCAGTGCATCATGACGTATCAATCTGAAAGTGGAAATTTTGCAATGTTGAAATTGATTACTTTTTTGATTACAATTGATTGATTGATTGTTCCTATATTCAATATAGAATGCTCTTTTTGAAATTTGTAAATTTAAATATTGGTTTGATGTTATTGAAATATGGCACATTTTCAAAATAAATGTGCTACAGATGGACCCAAACATGATATCGCAAACCTTTTTGTACTAACCCTCCTCACTGCAGTGGAGGGTTAAACATAAAACACTCATGATATAAGCTACTTGACCACTTTGAGTTGAACCTTTTTTTTGTTTGTTTTTACTCTGGGTGCCCAAAATGCTTTGTTCCACAAAAGAAAGCCATGAATAACAGCCATAATTTCCAGGCAAAACAGCCATTCAGTACAAGGTATTCTTTTTTAGAAGCTATTTCCTAAGAGATTAAATGTAAGATCACTCCATTGCATGAAGAGGAAAGCCAAAAGAAAATAAGGGGACTTCAAAACTAGACTTTTTTAAATTATTAGAGAAATGGGCCTCCTAACAACCTGGTAGACACCAAAACCGTCACTATCAGATAAACAGCACTTCAAGCCTTCATCATTGAGAAAGAGGAGAAAATCAAGCTGCTTCAGATCTGAAAACATCCACAGGTGTTTCTGTCCATCCTTCCACTGTGAGAAGACGACTCAGCGCTATGGGTCTGAAAGGATGTGTAGATGTTACTGAGACAAGAAGAACACCTGCAAATCAAACACAAAAGCTGCTGGTGTTTTCAGGTGTTTTCTGTTTTTTTCTGATTGCTTGAAAATTAGATAAAAATGATCCTGTATTATTGGTCTGCATGGAAATGCATTGACTGTAAGGTCAGAGATTAACATCCCACTCAATATATGGTACCTCACCCTCCTCTTCATTAGAAATGCCTACCTTTGTAGTGGACTTCTTATGTGGGTGAATCTCATCAACTGAGTGGAAGCATAAAATAGACTTATCTAATAAAGTGCAGGGTGAGTGTGTAGAGAGAAATATATATATATAAGCGTATTGCAGCATCTGTATTTACTCTAAATGACAGTATGTTCTTCAGTATGAAGTTGCACTGAACTATTTGCATAGATGGTGAAAAGTGGTGAAGTTTGAGGCTTTTTCAGTCTCTCTTTCAATACAAGCGTTAAAAGTCAAGTTTCAAAGCTCTGCCAGCTTATATGAAGAGCTCCAGAGGTTTGCTTGAATTGGCTGACATTTAGCATAATGAGGGATGCCCTTCTCCTCAGAGATTAAACACAACAGCTTCATCTTCCCTCAAGAGAAACCTTCTACTGCTGTAACACACACAGAAAAGACACCCCAAAATAGACTCGCTCGCTTCAAAGTTAATGGTGTTCCATCTCGATTGGACGCACACACACATTCTGCAGCTTCAGTTAAGGTTCAAATGAAAAACCCAGGCATTCCGCCAACATTACTTCAGCAGCTCATCACTCTGTTGACTTTATAGAACATATCAGTGCAGACTCACGTGTCTGAGAGTTCAGTGAAGTGAAACAGTGTGTAGGTGCGTTTAGTTCCCTGCTTTCCTCAAATGACTTGATTAAGGCCCAATCCCATTTCACGCCTTGCCCCTACTACTTAGCCATTAGCCTGCCCTTTTTCATATCTAGTGGTAGGGTGTCCCAATTTTGGTTGAGATGAAGGGGTAGGGCGAAGTGTTAGGACTACATGGCCCTCAGTTTGATGTTATTTCAAGGCATTTTGGTCCTTTTCTTCATAACAACCATAAACAATGGCATGCTGTTACGGCTGTGCCTACGCGTCTTGTTCTTTCTGTGTTTTTCTCTGCGTCTGTTTGTGTATCCCTCCATGTCACTAGGTGGAGCTGTCCCTGATCCTGAAGGCTGCTGATAAAATGGCGGGAAAAATCCAGACGTAGAGAGAGAGAGCGAGCGAGCGAGCAGAGGGTGGAGAGAGAGAAAGAAACTTTTGTTTTGAGCTGTTGTGTTGGCTGTGTGCTGCGTGGGATGTTTGCTGTTGTTTTGTATTTGATAGCCTGTGTGTAAATAGTGTCCCTGTTCATTGTGACTGTGCCGGAAGGGGGTAAGCGCCATTTTCTTTGTATATACCTTTTTCTCCTGTTTATCATTTAAGTTAGAGTGGGTATGGTTTGTTGTTTTGGCCTGACTTAGCCCTGGAGAGATGGCTTGTTTCTTTGTACATAGTTAATAAATAATTTGTAATAATTGTAAATAATTGTAAATACACTTTGAACCGGGTAATACCTTGTGTGGTTTATCATACACCCCACTGTACTACCATTTTCTGGCCTTATACCCTTAGGCAGGAACGTAACATATGCTAATGTATCATAGCTATGTAGCTAAATTTCCAGTTCCACCTTAAAAAGTCCAGCAGTACTAATGCCTGAAGTGTCAGTATGTAACTGCCGCTTTCAGCTTAATATCACCAAAGAATTAAAGGTGGGTAATAATAAATAACAGCCCCCAAAAAATATTAACTGTGTTTAACAGACCTTTTTCACATTGCCCCTCCATTTTCACAGGCTCCAAAGTAATTGGACAGTTGACTCATAAGCAGTTTCGTGGCCAGGTGTGGCCTGTTCTCTTGTAATTTCAGGACAAACTAAGGAATATAAGGTCTGGAGTTGATTTGGCAGCTGTTCATGGGAACAGATGATTACTGAATTCTTTTCATGGTAAAGAAAAATCCCTTCACAACATCTTGTCAGGTCAAGGACTTTCTAGAGGTGGATGGCGTATCAATGTCAAAGTATACAATCAAGAGATGCCTTCATGAACGTAAATATAGAGGTTTACCTCAAAATGCAAACCACAGGTAACACTCAAGAACACAAACGCCAGATTAGACTTTGCTAGAAAACATCTAAAAAAGCCTGTCCAGTTCTGGAATAACATTTTTTGGACAGATGAAACCGAGATTAACTTGTACCATGAAGGGAAGACAAGAGTATGAAGAAGGAAAGGAAGGGCTCATGATCTGAATCATACTGTATCATCTGTTTAACATGGTGGAGGGAGTGTTATGGCTTAGGCATGTACGGCTGCCAATGGAACTGTGTCACTGGTGTTTATTGATAATGTTACTGCTGACAGAAGTAGCAGGATGAATTCTAAGGTGTACAGAGCTGCTCAGATTCAGTCAAATGTTGCAAAACTGACAGGACGGTGCTTCAGAGTACAGATGGATAATGACTTGAAACACACTGCAAAAGCACCCCAAGAAAGAAATGGAATGGTTCTTAAATGGCAGAGACAGTCACTTGACCTCAACCCAACTGAGCATGCTTTTCCCTTACTGAAGACAAACTGATGGCAGAACGACCCACAAACAAACAGCAACAGAAGGCAGCTGCAGTAAAGGCCTGGCAAAGCATTTCAACGAAGGAAACTAAGCATTTGGTGACGTCCATTAGTTTCAGACTTTGAACTTGCATCGAAGGTCTTATGGTTTTTATGTTAGGGCCTACATCACAAGGATCACGCAAATTCAATATGATAATAGTAAAAATAATAATTTGGGATTGATGATCATACATATACCAATTCAACCAGCAGAAGGCGCTAGCAAATGTGATTTTAAGTGCTTCGAAACAGCAAATTATTTTTCAAAATCATTGTTTCAGGTGTTTCAAAGCTTCAGAAAGCCTTGTTGCCCTTATCACTTGCATCAAACCGCTTCTAGAGCTGTGACGCTAATGTTGCTAATGAGTAATGGTGGTATTCCACTAATTAGCATGGCTTCATTCCTAAATCTTCATAAACTTGCCTGACACAGTGGTGAGTGGTTAAGTAATCTCAAACAGACTTTCTTCAATCAGAGTGGTTTGATGTGAAATGGTCAACTGTGGAGAAACTTACTGACTCAGTTTTCTTTACAGTGGTGGTGATAGGAACCAGGGGTCACCAAGTCAACTCTACTCAAATACAGACATTTTATTTACTATCCAAAACCACCAGTGAACCTACATGAGTCTTCTGAGTTTTATATGTAATGTTGATGATGGCAAAATAGTCATAAATCTGAAAAAATAAGAAAAAAAAAAGTCTTCTTTGGGGACTATTTTGCCTCACAACATCCTGCATGTGCCCCTCTGCCATAAATGGATTAAAATAGGTAGATTAAACATACATTTTCAGCCAAAAAGTTTATCCCAAAACTCTAACAAAACAATGCGTTAGACATCAGACAGCATATATCTAGACTTTTCATGTAGGAACTTTCTGTGAGGGAGCTTTTAGAGGTGGACGTCTGGTTCCTATCACCACCACTGTGAACAGTTCTGACTCAGTAAGTTTCTCTAGAACTGAGCGTTTCACACCAAACCACTCTGAATGACTGTTCACCTCTTAACGATTGAATTATGTAGAATGTTTAAAAATTGGTTCCCTCTTTAACAAACGTGCCTCAGTTTGAGACAAGTCTGTGATGATTAATGTTAATCAGTGGAAGATCAGCTTCCATTACTTGTTAGCTACGTTAGCCTTGCAGTAGAAAACTAAAGAAACATTTTTTGGATTGGCTATGTTTAGGGTAAAGGAGAAAACTGTGTAAATAATATTTTTTGCTGTGTTAAAGTAAGCATTTCTAACCCCAGCTGCTACTGACCCACTGACCTAATTCAGCTCACATTGGATGATGACATTAAAAATCAGATGGGCTGCTTTTAAAAAAAAAAAATTGCCGGAGGTGAATGGAGACATTTTCATTGCACCTCAGCAAGCTAGATTTGCATGCAAATCACACCATCACAGTCTCAGCAGGACCACACACACACACACACACATGCACGCACACACACACACACACACACACACACACACTCATTTCCTCCATGTGTGTGAGAAATGAACAACTGCTTATCCTATTCCCCCCAGTTGTGTGTGCCACAGCAACATTAACAGA